CTGGCCTAACTTCTTCTTCACAGCCAGCAACTCAGTCTTCAATCCTCACATGAATTTTGTCGACTCTTCAGTCAGGACATCCAGCCTCTTCAGCAGCTGCTTGCTTGCGCAGGATCACGCCGCGCAGTCATCGCAGACAAGTTGCAGCGCAATGGCAACGCACAACGTAATTCACAGTGGCTGCAAACCAATCAAATTCAACAACAAAATTATCTGTCAAATCCTTGATTCATCCTGCAAGTCGCCAGTGTTTCTCTGAGAGTCCGACAAAGTCAATCAAGATAAACAAGTCTAAGAAATCAACAACTCAAGGGATAGAAGTGACATTTGAACATTTGAAACAGTCACTGGACCAAGCGTTTTAAAAAGTGCACAGCGCACGTCTGTCACACACACACACATGTCAACACCGAAGCGGAGCAAAAAACAATTGACAAAATTGACCAGAAACATTTGACCCTTGTTTTCAAATTGTTTTGACAGGGCCCACACCGCAAAGTTATTACAAAGTTCACCACCAAAACTTAATTATTGTTCGTGTGCAGCCGCTCTTGGCATCTCCAAACCCAGTCTCACAAGAAGGAATTGCAGTTGATCAGGGGTCTTTGGAAATGAATCTCTGGATCTTCATTGGGTTCATGATAAGGGGAAAGGTATTTAAATATAATGATTAGTTTGTAGCATTGTCACATGTAATAAGTTATCCTAAAACGGGACAGCCAAATCTATCATAGCTACATTAGATCCCCACCTAACACAGAAACCGAATTACATATAATATTGATTCTATTCTCCCATAAGAATGAGGTATTCTTATATTGGAGTATTCCCCTACTACTATCCCCACTACAATTCAAACTAATAGACCCATAGATTAATATTAAATCCCCCCGTATATATATAATATTAGATCCACCAGACCCACCATCACTTTGCCGGTGGCCGGTGGCCACCACCACGAAGCAGATCCTGACGCTCGGCTGGGGTTTTGGCTGCTGGACCTGGTTTTTAGCCTAGCCTACTTTCATAACAACCCGATTGCTGGAATGAAAACCCGATTCTTGGCGGGAATAGAAACCCGACTACTTTGTGGTTATGGGCCTACATCCCCACTATGAATCATACAAAAATTAAATGCAATTTACCAAGCCAATCTTGCAATTATTCTGGGAGCAAATAGTTCCTTTGATTCCCCACCTGCCAGGTGAGGGTTGTTAGATTTTATCAGAGTTGTTCTCCTCCTCCTCCTCGGCTAGCTGTCCTCCTCCTCCTCCTCGTCCTCCTCCTCCTCCTCCTCGTCCTCCTCCTCCTCCTCTAGTTTCTCCTCGACCATGTCTGCATCAACTTCCACCTCCACTTCCGCCTTGCCAACTCTTCGCCAAGCTCTTTAGCAACTCTCTTCGCCAAGCTTTTTGCCAACTTCCCAGCTCAGTGTGCACCGCAGGACCTCAACCTGGGACTTTCCCAGCTCAGTGCGCACTGCTGGACCTCAACCTGGGACCTTCCCAGCTCAGTGTGCACTGCTGGACCTCAACCTGGGACCTTCCCCAGCTCAGTGTGCACAGCTGGACCTCAACCTGGGGCCTTCCCAGCTCAGTGTGCACCGCTGGACCTCAACCTGGGACCTTCCCAGCTCAGTGTGCACAGCTGGACCTCAACCAGGGACCTTCCCAGCTCAGTGTGCACCGCTGGACCTCAACCTGGGACCTTCCCAGCTCAGTGTGCACCGCTGGACCTCAACCTGGGACCTGCCCAGCTCAGTGTGCACCGCTGGACTTCAACGGCCAGATAGAATGCCAGAAGAGATGCCAGATATAATGTCAGATAGAATGCCAGAAGATATGCCAGATAAAATGCCATGAGATATGCCAGATAGAGTGCCAGAAGATATATCAGATAGAATGTTAGAAGATATGCCAGATAGAATGCCAGCAGGTATGCCAGATAGAATGCCAGAAGATATGTCAGATAGAATGCCAGAAGATTTGCCAGTAACAAAGCGGTTAAATATCATGGTGGGGATCACACGAAGTAAAGTAATTTTATTCTAAGTTGCTTTTTGTGGCTATGTGATCAGCAAACTCATCCACAGGGAGAAATACTATAGGTACATAATCTTGAAGTAAGGGTGGCAATTTGGTGGGCTATGGCCAAAGCAAAACCCATATAATTGCTGCTACTGTACATGTCATGTTCGGAAAATATATGCTTCCAAAACTAAATCAGTTCAATCCAATCTTCGATTCCGCATTTTGTGGGGATTACACTGAATTAGATTCTGATGATTGCTATTTGGAAACCCTTATAGATAATTACCACTATAGATAATTCAAGAATCCACACTATCAATTACAGATATACAAAACACTAAAGATAAAACATGGGACCCAGGCCAAATAGATTCCATAGCTGAGAAAAGATAGAAATCCTGATGTAGATACATCGGAATTTGTGAAATAAAATTTGAAGGGGGTTGCTATTATCTGCTGCCCCAATGGAATCTATCTTACCCAGTCCCAATGGGATGGTCTGCTGCTCCACATTCTCCAAAATCTTTCCTTGCTCACCTTTCTGACAGTTCTGACATCTCTGGGAAGGTCTCCTGCTCCACAGTCTCGAAAATCTGTCCTGGCTCACCTTTTCTTCACACCCTCGGGATCGCCGCCAGCTCCACGTTCTCACCTTGCCAAGATGCACGCAGCAGGATTGCCACACAGAGCAACTCCATTGTGCCAAGTGTGACCAAAGTAAAGGCAAGCACGGCAACCCTCCAAGTCGAGGGTGATGCGTTTTGGCATTAGCCTGAAGCCAAGTGCGCCACACCGGGCCGCCACTATCTCTGGCACCTTCGTCCCAAGCCCGATGCCTTGGAAGTGCGGGAGCACGACCAACCCTGTCTCGCGCCATGCGACGCCGCCGTTTCCCTGGCCATGGAAGTCGCCAACACGTCTGGCGTCATGGGTTGCTCCTCCTCAGACCGGTAAGCCTGCCTTGAAGGCTTGGTAGTCTGCTCGATCCTTGTGCATCTTGTGCTCTTTGTCCTTCTTCTTGCCCTCTGTCAGAGGGAAGTTGATAACCATGATGGGGTGGGTAAAATATAATGAACCGAAGATTGAAAATGATGCAGAGCCAATGACAATGATACCAAAATCTGGGCAATCCCAAACCAAAAGTATCCTACAGGTCTGGGAAGTGCTGGGTGGCTCTTACCTGCCAGACGTCCCAAGCCACCATCCCCGCAGGAGCTCAACCACCTGTGGCCTATGAAAGCTCCTACTTTGACCTTCCAGTTTCCTTCCCCCATCCCTCACCAATACAGTCCTCATTTCCAAAACTATCTGCCCCACTCCGCTCAACCACACATTGGGAGCCAGAGTGGGGCATGCAGCAGCAGCAAAAAGAAATAACCTGCTTCAGGGCCATCATGCGTATAGGCCAAAATTTTGAAATTTTTGATTTGGGAAATCATGCTGTGGATGGAAGAAATCCTGCACCAATTGGTGGATAGTTTTTCCAATTATAAGCCCATGATCTACAATGATTGAAATGATAAATAATAGTTAGCAACTGGCACAGGATTTCTTCCATCCACAGTAGTTCACTTTAATTCCCCAAAAAAGGTGGAACAATACACAACACCACTACCTAGCCTTTTGGGAAGATATGTAAGCAGTAGTTAGAGCAAAGCAGTAGTTAGCTAGCTTCACTGGGTCATAAACACGAATAAGAATATGGGCCCCAATCTAAACCCACCCTTTCAAAGCCACTGGCCAAATTTTGCCAGAGAATCCAGGCATCCCTTTCCATACTTTAAGGATGGGTTACCCTTGTTTTCATCCTGAGGGGGGAAACCCTAAGAAATGGAAACCGGAGAACAGCTGTATCTTGTTGACACAAAGGCATCCTTGTATAGATGCTTGGGTTTTCAATGCCATTGTTGGGTGGGATTTTTCAATTCCAAAAAAGGTCGTCCTATTACTGATATGTTATGGTATGATCATAGGTTTTGGGAACATGATAAGTTGAAAAAATATCAGGCTAGTCACGGTTGTTTCTTAAGGGCTAATGGCGGCTAATGGATTCTTGGGACAACTGGAAATCAATATCCATTGAGAAACAAACAATCACCCATTTCTGTACACCCATGAATAAGGGACCGTTGGCGTTGCACCCTTGGAAGCTGGATAGTGTGGTAAAACCACGGGTTTCACAAGGATCTTCGGTTTGTTGGCTTAGAATCAGTGAGCCCTTACACTTGTATGCCATTATCCACATCATATTATTTTGTTGTATGTCATAAAACAATTTGGAATAATACGATGTTATTTTCTGTACCTACCATCATGTCATAACAATTAATATACCATATCGATTTTGGGTGAACCAGTAATAATCCTTGAGATTATCGTTGGGATTATCTTCTCCGTCAGCTACTATATACAAATCATACATTTGAATCAAAGAAATGTCTTGTGAATCTACCCCTGATATTCCAATGTTTACATAAACATGCATATGTATATGTAAACATCGATATATGAAGGGGTAGATTGATATACACATATATTAGGCTCCAGGCATGCCCAATAGCCCCACTGGGCTGGCACCCCCACCGCCTCAGGAATCCCAGGGGCAAGGCTCATCAACTGCAGAGGCGCCACTTGGTATGGCCTTGGAGTGGCAATGGTCTCAAACATTAGCACAAAGATCTGATAGGAAAATGGTAAATGTTTTTTTCCTCACAATGATGGCAGATTGGTAGCTCATACGCAATGGGCCAAAATTTCAGGTGGCAATCCCAATGACTAAATAAATGTAACAAATTGAGATGAAACCCAGATTGTTGAGGATCAATGATGCTACTGTGAAATTTGTTTGGGACATCGGTGCCACCTAGGTTTGCCAGTTTGGCCTGTTCACCAGTCACCTATCAGCCTGAATCAAATTACTTGAAACATGTTCAGATGATATTTGAACGTGATTGGGATTTTGAAATGAAATGACAATTGATTTGAAACTTCCGGACTGGATACACGTCGGGCAGCAGCATGTCAAGTCAGTTGCTTGAACTTACACAGTATCAACCACCAAAGTCATCCCGGGCTTAATTTCCACCGATTTGGTGGCCACAATCACCGGGCGTTGGGGTTGTAACCCGGTCTGCGTTTGCTTTATGTGCCATGCAAAGCCGGTCCATGCACTTTCCCACTTCATGGCCGGTGCCACCAATTTGGCACAGGTGGTTTGCCCAGCTTTATCCTCATCAAGGCGCGGAGCAAAGATCAGGTCGTTCACCTCCAGTGTTCCATTGGATCAAAAAATGATAACCATTTTCCTCAAAATAGTACAGAAGATAAATAACCAATTGTCAACCATACATGGTGTGTATTGGTTTATCTTTGAAACATCTATCCAAAGTAACTTGTTTGTTCATCGATATTTCTTCTTGGGCCAAATGGACACAATCAAAGTTTGTAACGACCCTAATGAATCAACAATCCCTCAATCAAGAATATGTTCATTGGGGGGAATATGTTCATTGGGGGGAATGAGATCATGTATTTGGTTGAACCTTCTTGAGTTCCCATTTGTGCTCCACCATGTCGAGCTTGGCTTCATAGTACTGGAGAACCGGTTTGTCGGGAAACTTTTGGCGCATCGATTCCATAAGATCACCAAAGTACTGGGGACGGCCATCCAAGATTGCCATCTGGGAAGACACATCCTTGATGTCAAAAGGAATCTCATGCTCTTGCAGCCCCGAAGATTCAGTCCCAAAACGGAATGCACCCCGGCCAAAGCCACAAAGACTGGTGCCTTCTGCGATGGTGACCTTAGATAGAATATATATATATATAGATAGATAGATAGATGGATAGATAGATAGATTGATTGATTGATAGATAGATCGAGCGATAGATAGGTATACTTCTAAGTATAGATGTCATATATATGTATATTGCTACATATTTCTATTTATATAGGCCCTTAACATCCACTTGGCATAGCTATGGCAGCTGTTGAACTGACAATGGATTCATTGATTTTTTAAGCACACAAAATGTCATGAATGAAATCCAAGAAACCGGTTGTTCCCCAAGATTGGTCAAAAAGATGGCATCCGTTTGAATGATAAGGTCGATGTTGGTCAAATTGAGGAGGTTAACCCTTTGTAGCTCTGTCCCCGTCGGTGCACTACCCGTTTCCACAAGTAGCTTCGTCAACATGGACATGTCAACAGGAGCCGAACCAATTTTGGGGATCTTCTTTGGGGTGACCGTGGTCACATTGGAGTTGACACGTTTCGTTCCTTTTTTTTCTGGTTTTGGAAACTCCTCATTGAAAGTGTCCATCCATGCCCGGAACTCGGCCCCGTGAGTAGCATTTGTATGCCAAACCTTTTGCACACTGTCCGGAACCTGAATGCCAGCAGCCTCACCATCAACCTGAGACACGGGCACAGTGGACTGTTGCAGGTGCCAGGTCCCCCTCCAAAAACAAACCTCTCAAACATGTCATCCATAAAAATCAAGGGGAATGGTAACAACAAAGTATCGTAACAAGGGGCCTTGACAAAAGTCATTTTTTTCATCTGGGGCGGTTCAGGTTTTTGGTCCATGTGCTCAGCAGGGGGGTCTTGTGCAGGAATTGAATGTCCCGCTGTTGGTTTGATCTTGTCGGTCAAGAGCTGGTCAATCAAGTCCTGTGTCAAAAACTCTTGAAGCCATTCATGATGAGCAGGATCGGGAAGCCCCGCATAGCGCACAGGGACATTCAATGATGTGCTCAGGGTCAGGGCTGCGTGGGCAAAGTCACCAACAACTGGCACATAATCCACAATGTAGATTGCAGAAGTGCTGGACAATTCAACCCCGTCCTTATCACCCAATCAAACTGGCGAGTGAAGAAAAACCAGCAACTGAACAACAATTATTGGAACATAAGTTTGGGACCACAATCAAACTCAAAATTGTTTCCTGTAATTTGTTGAATACTAAAATGAGTGTCCGTGATCGCTTTCAAAAGGCTGACACCCGCTTCCTTCCCGACCTGTGCATACTTGACGCCACCCCGGAAACGATCATCAACATTGGAATTTGGAAGTTTCCCAGATTCTTCAACTTGGATCAAATCCTGCCGGGCAAACAACTGTCCTGGTTCTGTTTCATAAATCCTTACTTACAATATATAGTTTTGGAATCCATACAACAAGTACCTTACAAGCTTTTAATGGACAACCATCTTAAAACGAATGTGTGTGTGTGAATGTCGTGTTCAATTCCAGCTAGTCCTTTTGCGCCAGTTGGGGTACTTCATCCAAGTTCCTGCCATTCTTGAGAAGGGCACTGGATCTCCACACCCATTCGTTCATCTTGTCGGTCTTGTCCATGAAAGGGGTAAGTAGGCGGCACGGGTATGTGAGGGGTCGCATGTCTCGCTGGTCCTTTGCTGAAAATTTTAATGACCCCCAAAACCACAGGGTGACCTGAAAACAAAATAGTCAGTCAAAAAAACAAAACCAAATCCACAGTAGACATGGGACACAAAAAGCAACATACAATGAACATGATTTAAAACTAGTCCATTGAATTTCAACTAAGCATGACATTTCGTTTTGGGGTCGAAGCAAAGTTGCACAGCATGATCAACAGTCACACCATCTCCATGCAACGTTTTGAGGACACTGTGCTCATCCATGTACAATGTACCAGGCTTGTAGTTGAAGATGGGTGTCAAGAGAATCCCTGTGGAATCCTTTGGTTCTCCCACAAAATGATGACCGATGATTTTCGAAATGCACACCATCACATCAGATCGCACAAGGGAGGGCGCTGCGTAGTTGAACAGATGAACTTTCACCTGAGTATTGAAACCAAACTTGAAACCAAAAACTTGAAACCCAAACTATCCAACTTTCAAGTCCCTCATTCCCAAACATTACATCCCCAAGTTGAAGTTAGTGACAACATGGTTGCACTTCAACTGGTGTGCCCATGCTTTGACATCCTGTTGAAGGGCTTGCACAAGCTCCACGGCACTGCCCGCCGAAATCTTCTCAGGCCAAGATAGCAGGTTAACCTCAAGGCAAACAGATCAATTTGGGTCTGGGAATGATTGGGAGGATTTGGGGGGTATAAAATGGCAAACTGAGTGGTATGTAGCAATGCAAAGCCAAAAAGATCATTATTCAAAAACAATGTGCTTGACTACACATTGACATTGTGTCAATAAAACAAACAATAAACATGAATGAGTTGTGACTACATCGAAAGTATGTTTTGACCTTTCGCCATCTTGGCCTTCTTCTTCAAGATGTCTTGCGCTGCAGATTTTGCAGAGTTGTGTCTCTCGATCTGCCAAAGATCTCTTTGGTGCCAGACCCTCAAATCCCACTCTTTGATCTTCCTCAGATGCACTCTCCAGGACTTCACATCAAAATCAAGCTCCGACAGGAGAAGTTCGAACGCTTGTGACATCACCCTTTGTTCTCCCATCTGCACCGCCGTCAAAAGCTCCACGGATGAGGTGTTGGGGGATGACTTGTCACAGAGGTCATTGAGAATGGCAGCTATGCCTGAACAAATTGGACTGATTGACCCAAACCCACTTCTAACCCAAACCCTTTTCTGACCCAAACCCTCTCAACGCTGGAACAACAAAAACCAAACAAGTAAAGTTTGTAATTATTTCTATGTTACTCGGACAGTCCCGCGCACTGTATTTTTCGTCCTTGGACATCAGTGCTGACTGAAGTTCCATGTCCATGACTGACTCACCCTCTGCCAGCTTTGTCAGGAACCTCTATGGTTGGGTGTCAGGCAAGTGTCAAGACTTAGGGACAGGTCAGAAACTTAGGGGAAAAATGATTTCAAAAATTCGATTTAAAGGTCTCAAGCAAAGGGCCGGTTTTCAAGTTCCTTCTCCGTGTTTGGAACTTGCAAAATGACTTCTTGGACCAAAGCACCTGACAGTATGACACCCCCAACCAAAGGAAAGCAATATGGAATCATAGTAGTTAGATAATGATCAAAGAACATACCATTTAGCATACATATTTCATATTAATCACATTGGTGAAAAGTCATACCAGCTGAATCTGAAACAAAGGAGCACGCCAATGCACAGACCTCGGCCTTCTCTTCCAGTTGGGATTTGTTCAAATTCTTGGGCGTCTTCTTGTGCTGGCTCCAAATCATATTGAACATGAGCACACAACTCTTTTTGGTGACTTTGCCACGTTCAATCCATGGTGAACCACGTGGTGTGTTCCGCCCCTTAAAGGAATACCCAGGCAGGTACCGCTTGCTAGACAGGCAATCGTCAGAGAATGGTGAACCTCAAACCCGGCATAGACCGACATTTCAAATGAGCAACATCAAACAACAGGTAAACACTCCAGGTGGGTCCCAAAGATTTTGGAAACAACAGGGTGCTATAAAATGTTTAAATCTTGAAAGTTCAGACCTAGGCACCCTCAAAACCAAACTCACTGACAATAGCCAGCAAGATTTCCCGAGCCGTGACAGGTAGGTCCAAAACAGAGGTGACTGAAGTCTTTTTGGTGCTCACTAGACGATCATCCCTTGATGCTTCTTCATTCCTGGTGCTTGTTTGAAACCCCTGAAATAAACACACAGTCCCCCAGTCAACAGTTGCTGGAAACTTTGGGAAAAACAATAAAGGCCACTAATTGTTGTGTTGAGGTACCATGCTCGAATCATGCTAATCGGGTCAGACTTTGTCCAGCTGGAGAGGTTGAGGAAACTGTACACCCATGATATCGCATTTGGTTTTGCCCGGATGCCCCCACGGACACTCTCCTTCATGTTGAAAAACCTGAAGTGCACCCAAGGAAGAACTTAAAACCAAATAAGTTGATGATAATATACCAGCTTACTCTGCCCATAGATGAACACAGGGGGTAAACAAACCTGACTTAAAGTCTGGGCACAGTTCAGCCTGCTTGTCCCGTAAGCGAACGTGCTTGCAGTGGATGTTGGACAAAGTCTTGTACAACAACTCATCGAAAACCTTCATGGGACAAAACCAAGCCAGCAATCATAAGTAACCAGTATGAAAAACCAACAATTACTTAAAGGTATTAAATGCAGACAAATAATAGTTATTACAACCCGAACCTCTAGGGTCGAAGTGGTGTGTTTCGAAATGTACACCATCAAAGCCATGACCGTGTGAATCCTTCCAGCCCCTTTCAGGAACCACAGCCCCCCTGATGGGATCTCCTCCCTGGACTGGGTCAAGGCGTCATCCTGGGCAGGGCCAATGGTATTGGTGATTGGTGGGTCTTTTCATTTGGGAACATTCTTTTCGGGGAAGAACCCACTTCCCAACCAATTTGGAAATTTTCTAACCCTGCCTGAATCCGAATCATCACAGGGTTCCCGGCAGTCAAAAACCCATCACAAGCAAATTGTTGCAAGATTTGCCTTGAAAGATCCAAAGCCGTGGGTTCCCTCAAGCTGGACTCATTCTGAACCGAGAACAACCACAGTGGAACCATGAAGGGAAGTTGTTGTCCCTCTTGTCCTAGCTCAGGGGGAGATTTCAAAGTAACAGAGTGACCATTTTGTTTCTACAATTTTCTGGGGTAACAGTTGGCCAAAAGAAAGAAGTAAATGTTGAAAGTCTCCTGGCAGGCAAGCCGGCACAGGGTAATGGGTCAGATAGTCAACATCCTGCCGAAGGAGAATCAACTTCTTCAAGATTGCCGCCAAGTCTGTAGCACGGGTAGACTCCACTGAGAACATGCGATGAAGGTACTGCCGGACACCCCCATGACCTTGGATTTAGGTCAGGGTTGTGTAAGATTTGTCAACCATGAAATATAATACAAGAACCACTCTTCATAAGGCTACTGTTTGCTTATCTTTAAGGATCATTCATCATTCAAGTATCCAGAAATTAAACACCGATCATCAAAAGATTATGGTTGGCGATTTTCGACCAAGGACTTTTGAACTCTGCATAAGCCAAGTCAAACAGCTTTTCCTTGTTCGTCAAAATGACATCCGAATGAATGGTAGTAGGGGCTTCTGATGTGCCACCATCTTGGCTATCAAAAAGGGCTCTTGCAATGTCTGGGTCAAGTCCCGTCTCATCCTCGCAGGCCTGTAGGGCCGATTTGTATTGGACCTAAAGACCGGTATGGAATATGGAGTATGGAGTATGATGACTAAATAGAGGACCATATGTTGATACATGAATCTTGATAAAACAATTCAATTTCAGAGAAGAATATACTATATAGGTCAAAGATTGTATATTGAGTAGATCATACTATGACCACACTTGTGTTTTCGATAACTACACTATAACCCCCTTATGCTCCGAAAGTTTGGGCCATTGGTCTGACACCTCGGGGCTGCCAGGAAAATGGTCCTGTGTCTCTGCACCATCCATCGCGCAGGCAGGGACCCAAAGCAGGATCAATGGGCGTGGATTGATCTGCAAGAGTTGGGGGCCCATGCATGGCAATGCAAAACCTCCCAAAATATTTTGGCAATTCTTATGATGAAGAAATTGGAATAGTAGTTAGATCCCAACTATCAAGATCATATATGTTTTTGTAGGGGCCTGGCATGTCGTTCCAAGGGTCCGGATGCAATGACTGATAAGAGAGACACAACGTATGACCATTCTTTGTAATTGGCCCCAAATGTTTGTTTGAACTGGGTGCCAAAAAACATGTGGGGCCCCTTAGAATGTTTTCAAAGAAAACAAATTTGGGTTTGAATGGGAGGAGTTTAGAATCAATGGGGGTTCACAACTCTTCTTAAAACCCAATTTGTTAACCCCCTTTTTTAAACAGGGTCAAAAAATTGGTCTTGGAACCATTGGACAATTAATGATCCAGACGTCTCATGAGAGAACTATCAACTAAGACTGGGATAATAGGACCCTAGTAAAACCAGCAAATCTTTAAACTAATTTGCCAGTAAAGCATTGTTTCAAAGCCTATGGATGTAATAATCTACAATGGTAAAAAAAACCAGCACATATCAGATCATAACCCAGTAACAATTCTATTTCTGGACTTGGCCTGTTGAAGTCTAACCCAATGTAGTGATGTATGGGGCCCAAAACCTACTCACAAGTCATTCCTTTGTAATGTTCAACCACCAGGAATTATTCGAAATAAAGGATAAGTTTAAGCCAAATTTCCACCTAATAAAATCACCAGAATTATTTCAATCGCATTGATTTTGACGAAGTCAGGTTGCAGAATCCAGCACCCTGACTTAGGAAAAAAAATATTTTTTTTACGATATCCTGGTTCCATGGTATGGTTTTGCCTAAGTCAGGGTGCAGAATCCTGCAACCTGACTTAGGCAAAATCAGACTTGTCACTGGGGAGTTAGGAAAAAAAATATTTTTTTTGCCGATCTCTGGGTGCAGGATTCTGCAACCTGACTTAGGCAAAAAACCTATTTTTCCGCATTTGTTTGCAACCAATCATGGGGTCGTCAAATTGAAATTAGGAAACAGAAATATTTTTGTTTGACGATCTTTTGGCGTGGGGATACCCATAATTCATCGCAAGCATTTTTTGGTGGTCCCTCCGCATTCCAATCTGCAACTGCCAGTCACCACTCGCCCCTGGGTCTACCAACAATGGCCGGGGTCATGGCCTTGGGAACCGATCATGATGAGGCGATGTGTGGGATTAGATTACTGTATATTCTCTTTAGGGCTTTTCAAAACCATCATGGGGTCTGGAGTCTGGAGTGATCTTACTGTTTTATGACTATTATGCATATCATGATTTACAACCATAATCATGATATAATACTTATTGTAAACTCATTGGCAACCACATTCCATTCAGCAAATACCCTTGGAAAGGGTAATGACATTATTGGGGAATCGTGGTTGGTCTCCCAAACAAAAGCGTATTTTTTTTTCCTTGGGTCCACACGCCAACAAGCATATTCTTGGGTACTCAGGTATGGTCCCAAAGAAAAAATTGAATTTGAGGCATTATCTGAGTAAGTGCTTTGGGAAACCAAAAGGCAAACACCCAACTTATTGTTGCTGTAGTAATATATTGTGGATCCGCTATGGTAACACCATCTTCAACATCCCCATGTTTTTTTCGACCAGGGCCCCTCAAGGTTTTGATATCTAATCAACCCAAGATAAAATTGCGTTTGTACCTCAAAGTATGTGGAATCCCTCCACTTTGGCCCAGCTGGCCCAACATGGTTCCAAAACAACCGATCCGGGCCTCTACAGAGACCCAACATGGCCCCAACATGGCCCCAACATCGACCCCAGATGGCCCAACATTGTCCCAACTTGGACACCAAATGGCACAACATGTTCCGAACATAGACTTCAAATGGCCCAACATGGGCCCAACATAGGCCCAAAACCAATCCCAACGGAACGGACGTTCCGTTGGGATTGATTTTTGACCCCATTAAAGCCACAAATCACCCAACGTAGGCCCAACATAGTCCAACATGGCCCCTCAAGAGCCAAAGATAGACCAACTCAGGCCCAACATAGGCCCCACATAGGCCCAACATGGCCTAGACATGACCTAAAAGCTGGCCCAAGAAGTCGGCATTTGAACCCAGACATAAGGAATCCTTACGTCTGGGTTGAAATGGAGGTCCGAATGGGCAACATGAGCCCAACATACTATCCTTTTTCCTCCAACATAGGCCCAACTTAGCCCCCAAATGGCCCAACATGGCCTCAACATGGCCTCAGCGTGGCCCCAACAGCCCAACTTAAGCCCAACATAGGCCCCATACAGGCCCTCCAAAAGAGAATTTGGAACTTTGAAGCCCCCATTCAGACCAGTTGATTCTATTCAGATCTAATTTATTCAGATCAGTAGTTCTTAATGATAATGGTCACTTGAAGATGTGACCCCAGTCCACCAACTCGGCTTGCCAAGGCGCAAACTTTGCACTTTGCTGTTGGCACCTGCAACGATAGCAGCTTGTCAAACCAAGGGAAAGGCAAGTGTTAAAACCTTTTCACGCAGATCTAATTTGTTTGGAATCATTGCTACATACTCCCCAAAATGGATTGATGATTGGCAAGAAACCCAATTGACCTGGGAGTGAGTTCGTCAAGTGCAGTCAAAAAAATACACTGAAATTCAAGGTATTTTTTCACTGCACGAGTACCATGGTAAAGAATCATGATATACTTATTGTAAACCAATTGGCAGCCACAATCCCCATCGGGTGTTTTGCCAGGGAGTGTTCTACATAAATTTGCAGTCAATAAATATCAATCCTTGGAAAGGGCAATAACATAATTGGGTATCCCTCTGACTTTTTATTGCTGGATTTATTGAGGATCGGCTATGGTGACATGATGTTCAACATAGCTACAGTTGTTTTTTAGACCAAGGCTTTTGGAGGATATGATATTCAAATTCATCCCAAAATATCCCAAGACATAGATTGTGTTTGAATTGACCCAGTAATGGATGTGTCAATTAGCTCAAAAAAAAATGGTGTGCAGAATGCATCCACCTGGTTGCCCAAATTTTGTTTTAGTTGTCAATCTTGACTTAAGGGGAATTACAAGGTTCCAAAATGATGAAATGGTTGGATATCTGGGTATCCTTTTCGGAAAGACATTTTGTGGTGAGCCGCAACCATGATGATAACAAGTATCGGCAAATCGGTGTCAATCGGTATTTGTTGGGTTTCCTCCCAAAAGTTGGCTTTCAGGAGGTTTGTGTGGGTTTATTTTGGAGACCCAACCCAACCCCAAAAAGAGTAGTTGGCTTCCACATATGTCATTTTTTCCTGCTCGGTCCATCCACACCGTGCCAATCAATCAAAACAGCGCTTTTGGCAGTCCAAAACTGCTTTGCACAGGGTGTCCACCATTTGATCGGGGTAGTGCTGGGCCCAAACAGACCTTTTGCATCCCCCCTCAAAGCCCTCAATTCTTTGATGGCGATGGGAACCATCACAATATTTGCCATCCATGGCCGAAACAATTTCCGGGACATTAGTAACTATGCATGTCCGTTTCTGCATCGGGGTCTTGGTCTCTTTCGAAACCAAGCCAAACATGCATTGGTCAAAGGTGATGAGTCGGACATCCTCCTGCTCCAGCAAATATTGTACCTCAGAAGGCCATGGGGAGGACAGCCAGTGGTTGCCTTTTTTCCCACAACTGAATGCCAAACTAACATACTAACCGGGGCTTGGAGACACTTGGAAATATATGAATATTATTGAATATTAGGCTTGACAGTTAGGTATTCAAAAAACATGTCAGGGCCATACTCTCCCAACACTCGAACATGAGTTTTTGAAAACCCAGCTCAATATTCCAGGGCATCAATGGGCTAGATTCTGGTCAGTGGCTATTTTTTCCCACATAGAACTGGTCAAGGAGGGAACATGGGGACCAAATACTTTCTTTCAAACTGAGCAGCCGAATCTCTGTTCCAGGCTAGGCTGCCCGCAGGGTGCTCCATCCCAAAAAAAGCACCAGTCCGTAGCTGGAATAAGGCAATCCAGGCGCATAAATCCACATGCCCCAAACCATCCCGAAGGCATAGGAATTTCTTGTTTCCCCGCATCCTTGACCAGTTGGATGCCATGAGCTTGCACAAATACGTACATGGTGGGCTTAAACTCAAGTAGAATGGACGGAAGGTCGCCAAGTCTTGCAAGAGGGTTCTCTGGTAACTTTCCAATCCCAAATCCCAGAAGTGCTGAATATCATAACTTCGACGACATGTCCCTCCAAGTTTGCGCACATGTGGTCCTAGGCGGGGTACATTGTAGATCTCCCATAACGTACAACGCTCATTCCACCAAGACCGGCTCCATGGGGCATTGAACATCACGTCCACCATATCTGAGAATGGCATTGCAATTACAGAAGGGATTTCTTCAGCAGCACCTTTTAGAGTATCACTGGTGCAGTCAAAAAGATCAGGAACACCATTTGTTTTCCGGGGTTCTTTGGAATTTCGACCAACATTGGTTCTGGAGCCCTTGGGGCCACCCTTGGTTCTGCGAGCTTGGGACTTCGGTGAAATCTTAGCTTTGGGCAAGACGTGAGGCCTGCTCAAAGTGCCACTACGGATGAAGTCGATCTCTCCATCGTCGTCAGGCGGGGGAAGCTCAGTCGAACTGGTGGCCACAGTAGTCGAACTGGTGGAAGGCGCTCCAGCTCTAGAAGGCATAGAATTGGCATTGGATTCACTCTGGGCTCCCAATGGTTCCTTCCCTTTTTGGGAGCAGTGGCTTTTCGTTTTTTGCCCCGGGGAGCCGGTACAGGGGCAAACAAACCACCCAAAGAACAATCAGCACCATTGGGGGGAAGATCAGCCATGGAGCCCAAGGCTAACTTGAGGTATGTAAACTGCGTGATGGGTTGGTGAAGCAGCAGCTAATCATACTCCAAGTGTCAGAGAAACCAACAGCACAACATTGTCAAGACAACTATTTACCAACTTCTTAGTACATTGAATTGATACATTGAAAAGATTGGCACCATTTTGGCTAGCTCGACCGACGGGACTGCATTTTGACCAACTTTGGGTGTCAAACATGACAAACTCAACAATGTTGCTCTTCCCATGTTCCACCCGGATGGCTTTGCAAGAAGCAATGATGATAGTAGGTTTTTATTACTGGTGTTTTTAGTATCCCTGGTTTGCTTTGCATTTGGTTACTGACACAAATCTGAATCATGGAGCAATGCCATCACAGGATTTTGGAACCCCCTAGCACTCATCAGAAGCTGCCATCATGGATTGAAAGTTGGGCTCCGACCATGATATACCATCATCCCTTTGCCTTCACGAAGTTCAAGACTTTTGCCGAGCAGATCGGCCTGGTTTCCTTCCCCGACCTGGGCCCTTGCTGCCTTTGGCTGCTGCTTTGCTTTTGCTTGCTGCCTTTGCTTTGGCCTTGCCTGTAGTCCTGATATTGGGTCCCCTCGCCTTGTACCCTGGACGTTTGCATGTTGAACACCCCGACGGACTGTGGTAGCACCGCGGGCACCCATACAAAGATACATCAGGGGCGGGTAGATCTTTGGCTTCACCTGGCTTTTCACCTTCCCCCACCTCAGCCTGATCCTTGCCCACCTCAGCCTGATCCTTGCCCACCTCAGCCTGGTCCTCCCCCACCTGAGCCTGATCCTCCCGAACCCCGCCATCCTCAGGAACAGCCTCAACTTCAGGGGCATCAATGGCCATGTCACCAAGAGGCGCTGGGGCGGTCTCAACTTCTGGCTGGGGGTCAGTGTTCTCTTCTGGCCGGACCTTGCGGGGTCGGCCTCTCTTCTTGGGTTCACCTGTTTCCTTGGCTGGTCTTTTTTTGGGCTTGGGCTCCTGTGGTGGAATGCCCTCAGCGTGGATTAGTCGAACAGGGCCAGGTGCAAACTTCTCCCACCTGGTTGGTATTGAAGATCTGAAAAGGAAAGTTTTTTGTTGATCAATTGTTTTATCCTGAGCCCACCATAAATAAATTTTAACAGAAAATCAAACTATAATGTTGAAGTTGAGGAACCCCGTTGGATTTGGCTGCACTCCAATGGGACGAGTTGCCCGCTCATGCATCCAAACCGGCATGATGGGGTCTGGCCAGCTCTTGTTATCATTCATATCCTTGGTACTGCAAACATTACACAATACATAAGATAAAGGTATCCATTATTTTCATAGTCGGGGAAGAACACCAACATCTAAAAACATAGTGAAACTAGGGAATTGATTCAATTCAAGTGTCGATCCAATCCCGGAGGGCCCTTGCGGCACGTACCAAGTACCAAGGCTCTTGTTCCATAATCGTCGCAGTGCGCAAATACCTTAGTAGCCGAGTGGCAAGATTTACCAGGTTCACACAAGATTGAATGCTTCATGTTAACAACTTTGGGTAATAGTAAAAAGATGGTAACAATTACTTAGTGATCAAATTCAAAATTACCAGGGGTGATGGTAACAATTACTTAGTGAGCAAATTCAAAATTACCAGGGGTAAGCATGCAGTTCTTTTTTTCATTTCTTTCAATAGCAGGGCACTCTTTGCGAGCACGGTCTGCAATGGGATGGCGCTCCATGGGTACCAAAGGGGTCTTGAGTTTGGTCAGAAAATCCTTTGGGAAACCACCAATGGCTGTTGGGAAAGATGGTCACTGTTCACCAGCTCTTTGGCAAGGAAAATGACATCATCACCATGTGGAGCGTAGGTGGCATCCTTCATAGGGAGATCTGGTGAAACCCAAACATGTGATAAGATCAAAAGGCAAACACTTGGAACAAGATAACAACAAAACTAATTTAGGGCCAACCCCCACCTTCCCTTCAAGTTCAATCGGCGCCCATGACTCACCCGTCCGTTGGTCATAGCTTGGAAGATCCTAATGACTGGCAAGAGGAAAAAGAGCATAACAGTACATACCATCCCAAACAGTACATCTATCCCAAACAGTGACGTAAAATCAAAATAAATTACTTTACTTCGTGTGATCCCCACCATGACATTTATACGCTTTGTTACTGGCAAATCTTCTGGCATTCTATCTGACATATCTTCTGGCATTCTATCTGGCATATCTTCTGGCACTCTACCTGGCATCTCTTCTGGCATATGTTCTGGCATATCTTCTGGCATTCCATCTGGCATATCTTCTGGCATTCTATCTGGCAAATCTTCTGGCATTGTATCTGGCGAACATTCTGGCACTTTATCTGGCATACTTTCTGGCACTTTATCTGGCATACCTGCTGGCATTCTATCTGGCATATCTTCTAACATTCTACCTGGCATATCTTCTGGCACTCTATCTGGCATATCTCACGGCATTTTATCTGGCATATCTTCTGGCATTCTATCTGACATTCTATCTGGCATATCTTCTGACATTCTATCTGGCCGTTGAGGTCCAGCGGTGCACACTGAGTTGGGCAGGTCCCAGGTTGAGGTCCAGCGGTGCACACTGAGCTGGGAAGGTCCCAGGTTGAGGTCCAGCGGTGCACACTGAGCTCGGAAGGTCCCAGGTTGAGGTCCAGCGGTGCACACTGAGCTGGGAAGGTCCCAGGTTGAGGTCCAGCAGTGCACACTGAGCTGGGAAGGTCCCAGGTTGAGGTCCAGCAGTGCGCACTGAGCTAGGAAGGTCCCAGGTTGAGGTCCTGCGGTGCACACTGAGCTGGGAAGTTGGCAAGGAGCTTGGCGAAGAGAGTTGGCAAAGAGCTTGGCGAAGAGTTGGCAAGGCGGAAGTGGAGGTGGAAGTTGATGCAGCCATGGTCGAGGAGAAACTAGAGGAGGAGGAGGAGGACGAGGAGGAGGAGGAGGACAGCTAGCCGAGGAGGAGGAGGAGGAGAACAACTCTGATAAAATCTAACAACCCTCACCTGGCAGGTGGGGAACAACCAAATGAATGAACTTAACTAATCTTGAGATCCAAAACATTAGCTAAAAAATTGTTTTATTGATTATTTTCTTTTATGATTTTTTTTATGAATATTTATGATTTTTAGGATATGATTTGAAAAAATGGTGAAAAATGGATATGATTTTTTATGTTTTTTTAAAAAAAATATGTTTTTTTTTATGATTGTTTTATGATTTTGTTTATGATTTTTTTATGATTTTTTTTGTTTTTTCACTTGTTTTTATGTTTTTTAAATGATTTTTTTATGATTCTTTGAAAATGATTTTTTTTAATGAAATTTTATGATATTTTTATGAAAATTTATGATTTTTATGAAAAATATGATTTTTTATGATTTTTTAATGATTTGTTTTATGATTTTTTTATGAAAAAAAATCATAAAAAAATCATAAAAAAAATATATTAAAAAAAAAACGAAAAAAACATTTTAAAAAAAAAGAAAAAACATAAAAAATCATAAACTGTTTTCAGGCAAAAAAACAAATCAAAAATTTCATCATAAAAAAATATATTTTTTCATAAAAAAATCATAGTTTTTTATAAAAGAAATTAATTTTAAAAACCGATTTATTAGCTTACTCCAGGATCTCAAAACTAATCATCAAGTTTCACACCGACGAATGAACCTCCAAGAATGGTTGACCCGGAGTTCATCTCCATTGCGAGCTCTGGCATTGGGGGTAAGCCCTGATATTTGCACTCCCAACTGGTCCAGCCACAACTTGTAGTTCCAAGTTCCTGGAAGCATCATGTTGATCATTTCCCGCCCCTTCACCGGAGAAACCTTCGTGTCCAAGATCTTCAAGAAATCCTCAGCAGATTTTTGGTGGCAGCTTGCAAACTGGAAAGAACAACTAAAGACATGTTCTTTTTCCACGATGGTGAGGTATGAGAATACGAAACTTTAAGTAGCAATGCCAAAGCTTCTTCAGGTGACTGGATAGTATCCTCATTGCTGAACGCCGTCACAGCTATGCTCAGCCTTTGGTCCACTGGACCGTGGGTGTGTCCAACCTCCCCGAAGACGTGCGACACACTGGCAAACCTAAGTTTGGAATTGGGAGCTGGGCAAAACTTACAGACTGGAAATGGAAAGTGCCCAAAACAAACTAATAAACTACCCATTGGCTAGCTCAACATGAGAAACGAAACAAACAAATAACAAATCAAATCCACATAATAATTTCTCAGGTACTTGTGCTTTGCAACAGCTAGACTGCTCCAGCGCGCTACGATGGCATTCTTTCCCTCTTTGCAGGTATTATCGGTCTGCAGGGTTTTAGTGTTCCCCTAGATGCCCAGTAAATTGCACAACTTTTAGGTTTTGCTTTTCCCGTTCCCATAGTATTCTAACTAGGCCTAGGCTTAGTTCATGGTTTTTCGAAAGCCATCCAGCCTCGATAATCAGATGGGCTGGCATCTCACATCCTCTGGACTGAAGGATCTTTTGACAAATGTCCAACACCGTCTCAAGAACTGTGATCTCACAGCTGCTGTCCTGGGGAAGATCCGAGTCAACCACAAAGAAGCCTTCACATACCTTAGAGGCAGTAGCAAGCACGAAGGAAGCAAATAATAAGGGGTGCAAACATCTTGTGGCTAAATAGCACAGGGTTTATAGTCCCAAACATTCCAAAAATATATAACCTGCACTGATCATTCATTCAAATAAGTGGCCCCGTAGCAGATGTATCCAATCAGGTGAACTTGGGGTCTCCAGCATTTGTCAAGGGTTTTCGATGAACGCAAATTCCGTGGGTACCTCGTTTTGGCCTGGTCAAGACCATCAATGGCGATCATCAAACAACTTTCAGTAGCACCTGGAACTGTTGATTGTTCACTCAGTGTCGCAAGTCGGCACTGGAGTGTCCGGTACGCCTTCACATTCGACAAGTGGATCTTCTGGGCATATTCCAAGGCTGCCTTCTCATTTGCCGAATGGGCATGTCCAATCCGAGCACTGAAGTGTGCACACTGGGAGCACCTGTCGTTGGTAAAGCACACCCAGGTTTTTTTTTTACTTTGGCCTATCATGGTCACTAGTGGCACTAGAATTGGAACATTTAAAACCAAAATGGAATTGGAATTATCTGGACCCATGAATCATGAAAACTCCATTGGGGCCATGAAGGTGATTGTAAGACAAAAGCGGTAAACCTAAATTCCAAATCAAGCCTGGCATGTTGTGAGATCTCCCTCATAGGCAAAGCAGACTTCCATGTGTGGTCATAGACATTCCGAAAAGTACGGTTGCTGGCACGATCTGCCTCTGGTACTTCACCCTGGTCACACCACCCGACATAGATATGGTACCACGCTTCCATGGTCATGTGGTGAACATGCCGGGGTTGCAGTGCACCTTAATTGGCAATGCATCTCGAAAGTGGAAAACAATTTTCACAGCATAGTCTTAACTTACCAATTTTACTATCATCCAATGTGGGGCCCCTGGGTTGCCAAGCTGGTTTATCAGATAATATCACCAGGTTAACTATGGTTTTTGGTTGATATATCCAAAGTGAATGGGGTTTATCAACCAATGTGTACTCGGGAGGCCCAAATTATAGTAGCACTATGAAAAAAGAGTCCATTGCCACCATGGTTGTTCTCAATCCAAATGGTGTTGAAATAAAATCACCAACACAAAATAACAGTATTATATATCATTTGCAAAGGCAAGGGACTATTCCCACCCATCAAGCCACCAAAGCCGGACCCAGTCACCACATTCTCCTTGGCACAGGTCCTGTCACAAAGCTGTGGCTCCAATCCAAAGAGGCTCCGAGGTGCCTCGTCCGTCACCGGTCCTGACAGGGTCCCAGGACTAGGCACTATGATATGTTAAACAAGTATGATTTGTTGGGGTCAATTGGCAAATATTCCTGTGTTCTGTGTTGTGCACTGGGATGGAAAAACCATAGGCAAATAATTTTGGGCAATATGGAACTGCCTGGCACGAACTCACCAGAAATATGGAGGCGTGCCACATAAGGATCATCTTCCACTGCCGGGGTCTCTGCCAATGTTTCCGCCTCACATTTGACAATTTGATATGTTTCAAAAACCATGGCTCCCGCAGATATATTAATTTAGTCTAAGGGGAAAACACCAAAATATCATACATAGACCAGAATGTTAATCCCAGGGACCACATTGTGGTAGTAGTGGTTGAAAAAGGCATCAGCCGATTGGGACTTGTGGAAATCCTTGGGTCCATTGAACTTCCGTTTGTCAACCGGAATCTGGTTCAGCTCAATACCACCCGACGAAGTCAATCTGTTTACCTGAGACACTTGAGAAGCAGGGGCTACATCATGTTTTCCCATGGGGAAAAAATACCAATCAACATGTAAATAATGAAATCCAATGGAATCCAAAGGTTTGAATATCAATGATAAGGTGCCCGCTTCTTGTTGATGCGAAGCAATGAACAAAACCCTTGTAGGCACACGCCAAAGCCACCAAGCATGTACTTGAAACGTGAGTTTACCTGAAGGGGCAGTGCATGGCCAACATATGTATAGTAGAGTTGTTAACACAACAAAGGGTCACATAGAAAGGAAAGATTGGAATGTAAATCCATTTATTGGTTTTGATCCCAACCTTCTCACATTTCCCAAGGAGTCCAAGGAGAAACGCATTGCTCTCTTCCTCATTCATGTTGGATAGTTTCTGCAATGTGTCCTTGGGCACTTCAGACACTGGCGGGAACACAGACCTGCCGATTTTGGGGGGCATACTTCCACCAAACAAATGTAGCTATAGAATATTATAGAATCAAAAATTGAAATGTAAAAAATGCATCCCAAAGTTCCAAATACCAAGGATCATCTAGATACTCAGACCGGGCTTTGCTGGAAAGGAAGGCATTGACACACCCAAGCTTGCAGCATTGAAATTTGTTGGGGTTTTCATCCTTTGGATCTGATAGCTTTTCCAGGTCCCTTAGATGAGTTTCAGGGTACCAAAGTTTAAACAAGTCAATGGTAATCTTTCCATTCTGCTAAAAGGAAATGGCTATCAATAATAGTTACCACAGGTGACAAGATACATCTTTGGAACATCTCTTCCACGACGGGGCGTCACATGAGACATGGGTAACGATTGGTGGCAGGTGGCCGAAAATTCTGGGCCCTCATCATCCACTGGCGGCAATTCCGCCATGGCACCAAACCCCCAGAAAAGCAGGTAGCCTTGAGCAGTGAAACTGTCGTTCATCCATGTTCATCCCAAAACTCACCAAGTTTCTGGTTGGATTTCCTGGTTTTCCCAGCTATCGAAATTGAGATGTCCATAAAACCAGGAAATAAGCCCGATGATGCCCCCCCCCCAATCAGGGAGCCCACAGGAGCCCTAGCACCTCACTTTGAAGAATTCTTCCTTCCCAGTCCTGCCATCAGGTCAAAAAACAATTTAATCAGGGTTTGGCCAAATTGTGTTTGTTAATAGGACTCATGATCCCATCCTACCCATGATCTCATCCAATTGATCCCATCCAATTGACCCCCCACAGTCCTCCATTTCGACGCAGGCGAAGCGAAGAGTGGTGGCCACCGGCCACATCCAGCTCCCCCACAGGGCACCGGGCACATCACTAATGAGGGTGAACCAGATAAGGGTAAACCACATCGTAAATCAGATAATGGTAAAACAACATGGTAAATCCAGATAATGGTAAAACAACATGGGTTCCAATGTAACCGGAACCAACACTATGTGGTAATTATGTACATAAATTTTAATGCATTGTCCACATACGCAAAAGAATCACATGCATATTTAAATGCACTTATAGATTGTAGATGGGATGTATATACAGAACAGGTAGCTGTATATAACTGCTTGTGAATTTCAAATATGACGTGCATTTCATGGCGCCAAACATCCAATGGACCCAGTAGACTAGTTTCATTGCAGAGATTGTATGATATACCCGGGGCAAGATGATGATCCTTGCCACTAGTTAGTGAGGTTTTCTGTTCTTAACATGTGGAACCTGGCCAAACCGGAAAAAAAGTTGACCCCACATCATCGGGATACCGGATCTAAAGACTGTATCAATGGTTGAATATACCTGTCATGTGGGTGACCACATCTGGGATTATATACATATATGTATATATGTGTGATCAAGAGGTCGGGAATATAATAGTTGTCTTGTAAAAAATGAAGATATGAACAGGACATAGATATGATATGATATAAATACTATGTTATACATTGACATACATATGCATGAAGGTCTATACATGTATTTCATTGTTCACATGGGATCCAACAAATATATATATCATTATATATATAATAGATATATATATCATTTATATAATATATATCATATATATCATATATATGCATAAAACATGTAATACAAATATATGCATCTCTAAAAAAAAATTAAAGCATGGTGTATTGTGTCAATGCATTCGATGGGCAATACATTCATCCAAGGACCCTAGAATCCATTTCCAGAACCCCATGTTCAATTGCAATTCCTTCAAGTTACTCTTGCACGTCAGGTGCATTTTCATTATCGCACAACTAAGTGTTTTTAATGAAAGGATCCGGTCTTAATTCGTTCTACATTGTCGTTGGTGAACGTTTAAAAAAAATCTCCCAAAATAAAAACGTCAAGCAACAGAAGATGTTGCTGATCTAGTGTGTGTGCACAGACACGTATGGCACTCGAAACAAAATCTTCTCAAAAAAGCCATTTCGAGACAACCAGGGTCACCTTGAAAACCCCTACGATCTAGAACCCCTACGATCTAGACCTAGTTTGAAAATTAGTGACACACTTTGCGCGAGCCTGCGCAGTCGAAATGCACTTCAACATTTCATAAGAACCGCTTTGTACGGAAATTTACATGTAAAAGGCCAGGCCAGAGTGAGAACCCTGATCAAGCACTGGCCGTTTACTCCTATACCGGAAGAACCTCTTAGTGTGGACACACTGTTTGGGGAAAAGATCCGAACGTGGTGTGTTGTTCACATTTCGACATCGAAATGTGCTTCGCGCCACAACAGTGTAAACTTTTTCGGCACCTCAACCTGCAAAAGTGGTCCCAACGCAGTGCTTTTAGCATTTGACTTCGAAATATGCTTCCCGGCACAACGGCGTGCACGCTTTCAACATCTCAACGTCCAAAAGTGCTCCGAACGTGTTGTGTTTGCCCATGTTGACTTCGAAATGTTCTTCGCGCCACAAAGACGTGCACTTTTTGAACATCTCAACTTCCAAAAGTGCTCCGGGCCCGATGTGCTTTTCACATTTTGACTTCCAAATGCGCTTCCGGCCACAACCGCGTACGTACACTTTTAATTTTTCAACATCTTAACTTCCAAAAGCGCTGGGAGCATGAGATGTGTTTAGAATTTTTGACTTCGAAATCTGCTTCGCACCACAACGGCGTGCACTTTTTCTTCTCTCATCTGACCAGATGGCTCCGCACCCGCCGCTTTGGCCAGCCTACTTTTCGATCCTCCGGAGCCACAAAACATTGGAAAGATACAGTGCTTCGCAACTTTTCAACCTTTTCGCGCACCTTGATCCTGTACTTCTAAACTTTCTTCGAGTAGTACAACACTCCTTGCTGCTGGAAACTACCCACCTGGTAATCTAATTGTAGTCATTTATGTGGAACAGTCAGACCGGCATGGCACACGCACCTCAGCCAAGATGAAGGGGAACATCGCAAGGAAAGCGGTTGCCGCAACACGCTGTGGATTGGAGAAACAACTTTTTACATCTGCTGACACTGATTCACATGGACACTTATAGTCACTATCCCCACAAAGCACTCCTTTCAAATTTACAAACTTTTGGCCAAACAATCCCGGCCAGGCTTATGAACCGCAATACCACCAACACCTTAGGCAGCCAAGCAGGCACTACCACTTCCAGTAACATCCAAAAGAGAACTGTCTCCAGACAGAGGCGACAGTGCAAACAAAGACAAGGCAGAGCATGAAAGCGCTGTCCAAAAAATTGGCATGTGCAAGCAACGGAATGATCCTACTTGAACCCTGAATCAGCAATGCAGAATGACTTCACAAACGAAATACAGTCGAAGGAATGAAAGAAGAATTCAAGGACCAGATAACCCCACATGTTAAGCCTTCCAATTCTTTTGAGACGAAGGTGATGACTTGGGATACTTACAAAAGCTGCGGCGGCCGTTGTTCATCTCAACAGTGTGCGGACATGGTTGGCGCTTGATGAAAATCAGCAGGTTGGACGGTTGGACAACCAAGTTGCACAGATTTCGACATCTGTAATTAATCTTAGAAAACGGCTGGCTCCAAACTGTTTGCAGAATGTAGTGCCATTTCCTGGGAATCCCATTGTTGAAACCCATGTTTCCGCCTCTTTTGCAATATGCTTGTTTCTGTATGGGGCTTGCAGGGGTTGGAGGATACCGGGGTATGTTGGAATATTCGCTGAAATCATCACAGCAGCCGCGTCGGGTCCTTTTTTCCCCACCCCTGGATCCTTCAGCATCAAGTATGCATTTCACAAACCTATATAAGCTCAAATCGGCAGCTAATAAATTTTGCAAGTCCTTGTAGGTCTCCTCTGTGAGATTCAGATCCATCCCAGAGAAAATGCCCTTGTTTTTGTGTATGAATTTGATGGGGTAGCCATATGTCTGCTTCAGGCGCTTTGAGAAACCATCCAAATCTTCCAAAAGCCCCAACACGGGGTAGTGGAAAGCAATATTCCGAATCGCAATTCTCAGTTGGGTCGGCCCCACTTCCCGGAAACCAAGACGGTTGCAGGCACCCGAATCAAAGCATGGGAGACCCAGTGAGTTTTCTGACATGTCACCAGAAAGCATTCGTGTTTGATGATTGTCAACTCCGTAGAACCATAGGTCGCCCCTCATCAAAGCCCGTGTGTATTCTGCTATTGACGAATTGCAAAAGGGCCTGAGAGATTCATTATGGGTTTTGAAGCATTCCCAGCGAACATGTGACACGTAGCGTTCAAGTGGTTCCCTCAGAATCGTCGTATATGAGCAATTAGCATCGAAAAACCGGCAAACTCCAAAGGGGACGTGGCCTTCAACAGCTATGATGGTGCGAAGGGGCGGCAAATTTCGGATCTCGTTGGGCGAGAAAATGCCCCATGGAAACAACTTCCAGCCTGAACGGACATCCAGCACAAAACAACGATGTTTTCCCTTCTTGATGTTCAAAATCCCTTTTATTGGTCTGATTGTGCCACAACCTTTCTCTTTGAGTTCCTTATTTAAAGCTTCTGCCACCGTCGTCCCGCCAGTTTTTGGAATGTGGGTAAATACCAGTGGCCAATGTTCTCGCAAGTTTGGGCGCTTTCGAAGCTCTGCAGTGATCATGTCCACTTCGTGCTGATTGAACAAACCAACTTGCTCAACGCACCGACTCAAAGCAGAAACTACGTAGCTGTTCTGTCGTGATGTGTGTGTGATTCGGTGGGAAGATTTCCGGCAACTTGGTCTGGTGAGTCACATTTTGGTCCGATAAAAATGCCTGGGGAAATACTACTTTGGGCGTAGGCCTCCCTGGCATCACATGCTGCTGGTACAGAAGACCTCCGACCAAAGCAAGACTTAGTGGAAAGGCAAGCACCATGCTTCTACCATTGCAACACCAGAACATGCCAAGGTCTAAAGACCCACGTGACGATAGAATTGAGCTGCCAACCAATGCAAACTGCAAGTGTTACTTCTCTACTGTTTCTTCCATGATGGCCACGGTATCCTTTCAATCGATTGCCATCGGTCAAGTCTCAGCCATGCCCTGTCACTGCAGACTCCGGGGGTGTTGCCTAAAGTTTCTTGACCGATAAATGGTGTTTCTTCCTGCATATGGCTGCCGTGCTGAGCTGAATGACTGGGCAAGATGAAAATGATGCAACATTATGAAAAAAATATTCCCTGTCGCAAAGACGTTGTCTTACGATGTCCAGTCCAGGTTGCTGTCGCATGTTTGAGCCTGAAATGAAGACCAGCAAACATGAGAAAAGGTATTTCTCAGGCATGAAAGTTCTACCTATGCCACGGCATTTAGACATGATCTTCAAGAAAACCATACTCAATTTTTGAATGGCCCTGGAAAAAACAACTTCGCAAAGGACTGTGGATTATGAGTCCAACGAAAACATTCAGTATACTTGTAACCCC